TAAACATAGGGATTCCAGAGAGCAGGCATGTGAAGGTTTCCGATAAACGTTGAGGCATTCCATGAACAAGTTTTAGAACTTTGTCCCTGGCTCTTGGCGGGGCAGGTGTGGGATAAGCACACCTGGGAAATAATCATTGAAGTAGCTCCACTTAGAGAAAGCCAGGGGCTGGCACTACCAGTAGCCCTTTTTCCAATTGCTCCTGCAGTTTTGGGATGTCTTCACCGTTCGGCTTTCCCTGCTCGGGTTCTCATTATCGAACCCCAACCTCAGGCCGAGGCCCCTCCAGACCCGACTGAGTCGGAAGATTTGATGACCTCACCTTTATCCCCTGATGTCCAAAGCCTTCAGTTTCCCCAGTGGACACCAATTCACAGGGTGTTCTGCCTAAGACAAAGCCTTTGTATGTGCCATTACCAACCGAAGCCCGGCGCCCATCAGAGGCCACCATAGCTGATCCACCTGCCTACAGGCCTCCACCTGCCAATCCTTGGGTTGCGACAGCCCAGCCCCCAGCAGACTATGAGAACCCCTGGGGGAAGAAGTGTCCGGACTCCCCCTTGCTCCCTCGATATCGCCATCTCTTGGGCCAACTGGCAGGAATTTTGCCCCCAGCACAGGCGGTCAGCAACCACAAAGGAAGTGGACTACATATAGGTTAGAAACTTTAAATAAAATGAGGAACACGGAAGTAGAAAACAGCCTCCATTCTCCATTCGTAACTCAAATGTTTGGGTCCCTTGCCACCACGCTAAATACCCCAGCAGATTGGAAGAGCATGATGCGTGCTGTGTTCACGGGTGGCCAATTTCTGCAATGGAAATCCGCCTTTTATGAAGAGGGAGAAGTGATCGGACAGGGCAACGTAGCCAGGGGAATAATATCCCTCCCGAGTCTCTCCAAGGAGAGGGTAACTACTTTTCTCCAGTAGCCCAAATGCAGGGGGCCCCACAATATTTTGATCAAGTTCACCTTTGTGCTATGCGCGCTGTTGCTAAAGTGACAGAGGGGGCTGAAGTCTGCATTTCTGGACTCCAGCAGAAACCACAGGAGAGTTTTGCTGATTTTGTATGGCAGACTCAGGAAACAGCAGTGCTCACCATGCAGGGGTGGCGGAGGCACTAGTAAAGGAACTGGTTTGGGAAGGCACTACAGCCGAGGCGCGGCAAGCGATTGCCCTGGTACGTGCTAGTAGTCGGAAAGAATGGGTCAATCAATGCCACTCGCGACTCGGGCACTGTTTCTCATAATGCCGAGGCGCTTGCCGCTGCTCTTGCTCTCCATCTGAATGTTAAAAGTATCGAGGGCAGTGGTAAAGGGTTTTGGGAATGTGGAGGACAGGGACACATGGCTGGACAGTGCCCCTCCAGAAAGGGAAATATGAGTCAAGGGAGGTACACCCCGCCCCCATCTGCCCCAAATGTAAAAAAGGTTTCCATTGGGCCAAGGATTGCAGGTCATGGAAGACGGATAACAAAGGCAGCCTTCAAACCCCGCCCCCCCTCCCCCCCCCGCCCCGCCCGCAAAGAAGGGGGTTTTCACAAATCCTTTGGACCATCCCAGTAGACCTTCGTCAAGCACACATAACTCTTGATATAGAAGGGAAGCCTTGTGCTTGCTTCGGCGGCACATATACTAGAAGGGAAGCCTTACAAAGGAATAGTGGATACCGGAGCGCAGGTTACTTGTATCCAGAAAGAAGATTCCCATTTATGGAATCTTTCCACAGGACCTCCCGTTAGGGGAGTGGCCGGTCAGATTACTTCTTGGCAAGACACCCAGCCCCTCAGTTGGACAGACGATGAAGGCCATGCAGGGCATTTCG